ACCTCCTCCCTAGGCCCAGATGGTTGCAGCTGACCAGTGGTCACCCTGCAAGGGGCTCCCTCTTGCTCAACCTGTTCTCGGCTCTCATCCCCTGCCCCGAGTGTCTGTGCCAAGGGTAGACCTCAGTTTTGGTTAAGTCTGCCCTGGAGGGGGCGGGGGATGAAGGGCAGTCTCTGGCAGTGGTAGATGTTCTGACTCATTCTGGCAGGTTCCAGAAAGGGGAAAAGAAACAGGACAGGGTCCCAACTCTTGTTCTGTGGCCTTATTATAATAAGAAGCCTTCTGAAATGGAGCAGGACCCTATGGTCTATGCCCCCCATGTCCTCTGCCTGCCTTTTGTCTGTGGAAAAACTTTAGCCAAAGGATAAGTTTAATCAGAGAAGTGAGAAAATGCAGAAGCAAAGAAAACAATAATAGTTTAGTCAGTAAGCAAAGTCAAGGACCTTTAGTTTCTCCTCAAGGGCTACAGATAATATTCTGAGCCATATCCTGTGAACTGTCTTGTAGGTACAGTAACCCGCCCCAGGTGGAGAAGTTAACCACATGATGACCAGACTGTAGCCATGACATGAGCTGCCACAATGCAGAGAACTGGCCTCAAAGAAATGGAAACCAACCCTGGAACTAAAGAAATGGAAACCAACCCTGGAACTGAAGATTAACTGTACCTAAAACAATTAAGATGACGCTGATCAGACCACCAATGACCAAGTTCAAGATGACTGTCAGAGCTGACTGTGCTGTTTCTGCATGTAGCCCCCTGTCTCCATCTATAAAAGCTCTTGCCCCCGATTGTCAGTGGGGGGAGTCAGCCTTCGGACAGGAGTCCACCCTCCCCCCGGCCCCTCAGTTGCCAGCATCCAAAATAAAGCAAACTTTCCACCAACCTTGCCTCTTTATTGGCTTTTGAGCAGCGAGCAGCTGGACCCCACTTTCGGTTACTCTTCCAGGCAGCACCTAATACCTACTGAATTCTAGTGACTCTTTAGTTGCAGGGCAATGAACTATTTACTTGTTCTGTACTGGCCCTGCCCCTCCCCTTAGAGACAGGAACTGTCTTTCTTATTCTTTGTGTAGCTTTGTCAACGCCCAGCAAAACACCTGGCACAGAATAGGTACTCCATAAATACTTAAGTAATAAAAAGAAACTGCTGACTAAAGGCAATTAATCAATACCAGTGAGCCTCCTCCCCTGCCCCCACCCCATCCAGGCCCTGGGCATACTGCACAGCAGCTTCCTTATTTTCTGAGCATGGGCTGTATGAGCAATGGGCCAGGAGCTTCCCCTGAATACTCACCAGCTAATGAAAGCCTAGATGATAAAAACCATGTAAAGAGAAAACTTTTGGGGGGAAGGGTGTGGGGCTGATGTGTGTATGGGAAGGGGTGTGGGCATGAGACAGTTGAAGGGGGAGGAAGATTTTGTAGTTTTAAAATAGACTTGCAAACCCACTAATTATATATAGTGTCTGAAGACACCAAAGCTGTTCTCTATTTGGAAAAAAACATTTGAAGTAACTTGCAAATACACTATATTTTTTCTTTCTCCTCTTTTGGGAGGGAGTGTGTTGAGCATGTACATTACAACAATTAAAACAAGAGTTTTCCTTAAAACAAGAGTTTTAAGGAAAAAATATTGCCTGTAATCCCACCATCCTACAGTTTTCACATTTTCATGTTATTTGCTCGTTCCATTTGTTATGCACATAATTTTTCCATCTTTGTGAACTTTACAGAGAGGCAATTTTTCAGTCTTTCCTTACATTTTTCTCCTGAACATGTTTCCTTGTGGCCAAATAGGCTTCATTATTATCATTTTCATCAGCTGAAGAAACTGCAATGTTTGGGATTGTAATAATAATGGAGCCATGAGATCTGCGTGCACAAAATGTTTTCCTTTTCCTACACTTTTGCTGGAGGGTAAATTCCTGGGTCGACGGGTATGGGTGCTTTCAGGACCGGAAGTGAGTTTGGGCACCTCCATCATGAAGGGCTGGTTTGAGCCTCTGTAGCACCAAATTCAGGACCTCCCTCGGATGCTAAAATGTAGCCCACAAGAGGCTCCAACAGCTGCACTGCTGGCCTCGTTCACATAAGCATGCCCCTGACTCCCTTACAAGAGAACTGGAAAGGGCTTTCTGAATCTAGTGTGCAGATGTCTTACAAGGGCTCCGAGAGGCTGGCAACCGCCATTCAGATAAGCAGGAAGTGGACTCTGCCTGCACTGGGAGAAGGAGGGTGGCCTTTTTGGGCAACCCTAAGGAATCCATCCATTCCCTTCTCCCCACCCTACAAATTTCACTTGCACTTGAATTACTTGAGTCCAGTTGCAAGGTCCTCTAAAAGTTGAACTCCTTGGAGAGAACAGAATGTCACTCATGTTTGCACATGAGACACATCCCTC